TATTTGCAAACCATTACCTTGTGGCTAAGACAAAGACCTGGGACACAGCAGATCTGGGTTCAAGTACAGGCTCTGTAGAAGACTCAATATTTGCCTTTGAGTAACTCATTAAATTGCTTCGTCCCTCAGTTTCCCCACCTGTTATATACACAGATAATTAAATCCTTTGTCACTCTCAGCTATTAAATGTGTATCACATTCAGGCTGGGCCTGTGTCTCTGTATCTGTGCTGGGTGTAGCACAAAGGGGCCCATGTCTCAGTCCCAGACTGTACGTTCCACCATAACACCCATGATAACAATAGGGATAATACAAATTAAAATAGTCAAATGCAGTTCCGGCTCTGGTGTGTGTGGCAATGACACACGGAACTCAGCTGATGGAAACCAAGAATAACTTGTGAGCCTGGTACCAGTGCAGTGAGAAGGCCCAGCCTGGGGATTCATTAGAAATGTCAACATTTTAATTAATCCCAACGGCCATTGCACCCCGTGGGATGGTCTGACTGGGCTGGGGATAACACAGCTACAGAGATTAATTATACCATCTGCTTCTGCCCCCTCGTCCTGGCTCCCAAGTAAGACACTCACCAGAGAAGAGCGGGAAATGATAGCGATTAGCGGAATCGCAAGGGGCCTTATTACAACTGCGGTGCTGGGACACCACAAATGGATTGATGAGATCACTGCTGGAGCCCCCCCAATCTAGCCCTGTCTCTCTCACATCCCTCTCTGTGTGGTGTCGATGGATTTGTCTACACTATAGAGCTTCCCAGCGATGTCGCTAACCACCGCCAACCCCTTAATGTAGACGCACAGTAGAGGTGCAAGATGAGACTTCTGTCAATTCCACTTACCAGGCTAGTGAAGGAGCAGCTTTCGCTCACTTAAATCAGCTGCAATCATCTAAAGACCCTTTCTCCTGACCCCTGATTGTGCAAAGGGGTGGGTAAGAGAACACGCGTGAGGCCCAGAAAGAAGCCGAGCGACGTTCATCCCGATGTAGAGAGGAGGGTGTGATGGCTAATGCTCGGACTGGAACCCAGGAAAGCTGAACTAGATGCCCAGCTCTTCCACACACTCCCTTTGTGACCTTACACAACTCGATCAGATTGAGAATTTCAAAAAGCCAGCAGGAATTAAGTGTCCAATGCCCACTGCACTTGAATGAGTTTTGGGATCCTGGCTCCTTTGACAATCAAACCCTGAAATTCTCTGTGCCTCAGTTCTCCCTTGTAAAATGGGGCTGGTAATTCTTACTGTGTTTGGTTTATTCAGATGGTGAACTCTGAATGGCCGAGCCTGTCTGAGTTTGTGTCTGAGCGGCAGCCAGAACAACAGTGCCAGGCTCTTCACGGAGTTGGGGGGGCTGCTATACTGCGAAAAGTGATGAGAAGTGGTGCGCAGGACGTATGCTGCCCTCTGTCCGCACAGTGGTGAATTTCACCCTCACACATAACCACACAAGGGCACAGAGACACAGAGAAGGGGCAGGGGGACAACAGGGGACACAAACCAAGGACAAAGCTCTGTTGGCTTCAGAGGCCTCCAGCTGCACCTCTGGCCCAGGTTACTCCTATTTCACACCCCCGCGGGGAATAAGGGTGAAGCGGTGGATGTGGTATACCTAGACTTTAGTAAGGCATTTGATACAGTCTCGCATGATATTCTTATCGATAAACTAGGCAAATACAATTTAGATGGGGCTACTATAAGGTGGGTGCATAACTGGCTGGATAACCGTACTCAGAGAGTTGTTATTAATGGTTCCCAATCCTGCTGGAAAGACATAACAAATGGGCTTCCGCAAGTGTATGTTTTGGGACCGGCTCTGTTCAATATCTTCATTAATGACTTAGATATTGGCATAGAAAGT